TGTTTTTCAGGCGGTTATGTGAACTTTGGAAAGAAGGATCCATATCTGCCCTGTCCGGCGTGTCCGAGACACACGCAGGTGGTCGTGACAGCATCCAAGAAGACACCTCTTTTGAATGGCCAAGACGCCTCTTCGTGGTGGGAAGAGGACGAGGTGGTGTTTGACTCACGTGTTGTGGAGGACACGGATCTGCGCGACCCGGACGAGAATGATGGGGCTTAGGATACCACGCGTAAACATATAGATGGGTTCATTATTTTTGCGGCACATCATTCTTCCTTTTTCTTCTTCATCTTCGTGTGTGTGTGTGTGTGCCTGGCAGTCCGTTCTTGCGCTGATGGAGATATTCTCATTTTTGCTTTCTTTTCCTTTTTTTCTTTTTCTTTTGCTTCCTCCGTGTGTTACTGAATTTGAACACCACACAAACCGTTTCATGTGGTGATGCGAATCCATCGTCGTCATTGCGCAATAGATGTTGAGGGAGGAGGGATAATGTCCGGAACTCCAGTGACGTTTACGCCGACGCCGCCACTCCTCCCGCATCCTCCGAAGGGATGTGTGCTACTGCGAGAAAATGTTTATGAGGCGGGACGCCCTCACGACGTAGACGAGGTTCGTGTGCGACGGAAGCCGACGATGTCGCGCCAGAAAAACCAACTTGTCGATCCACCGGCCGGTGCGAGTAAAAAGTACACTTTGGTTTTGGATCTGGATGAAACGGTGGTGTATGCACGCAATGGCCCTTTGTATGCTCGAGCATACTTGCGGGATTTGCTCCGATCCATAAAGGACGAGTTTGAGGTTATTGTCTGGACAGCGGGGGAACGGGAGTACGCCAAGAACATATTAGAGGAGATCAACCAGGACCACATCATTCAGCACTTAATCTACCGCCACAAGACCTGGTTTTCCAGTGAAGACTACACCAAAGACCTGAAAAAATTGGGTCGAAACATCGATTACGTTATCATCGTGGAGAATACCCCGGACTGCGTTCGCGCGAATCCACAAAATGGCATTATTGTGGAGGATTTCGAGGTGCCATCCACACCACCGGTAACCTCGCAGGAGAAAGAAGCGACCACACAGGCGGTGGAAGGAACACCCCCTGCATCGCCGTCCACCTCGACGCCCCCTCCATCCCCTTTGCTTACCCCCACCCCATCCATATCGCCAACGAAGCCGAAGCGACAATTCACGGATCGCACACTTCTCTTGCTTCAGGAAGTGCTTTTGGCGCTGGCAGAAAGCGGTGAAACGGTTCCCGGATTTCTTGCCAAATGCCCATTGCTGACGCAGCACGAGGTACTGGGATCAAACGGGCAAAGTATACCCACGTATTATCTTGGAAAGCGACGCAAACGTGGAGCACCTCCGACGTTACCTCCGCAAAAACGCGTCGTTCGTGACAATTTATTTCTCGATGGCGCTGCGGAAAAGGAGGGGACACGCAATCGTCGAATCCGATTAGAGAAAGGCGCCCTCGAGGACAAGGCTTAGCGGTAGAGCCGTTTTTTTCTCGCTTTATATATAAATATTTTTATATATTATATATATTTGTATATTTATATTTATTGCTGTAGTTGCCGTGCTTGTTTCTTATTTTATTTTTTTATTATTATTTTTTTTTTTTTTTTTCTGACCGGCGTCGTGGCGCCACGCTCCTCAGAAGAGGAACTTCACTCCCCTCTCTTCCACCTCCCAACTTCGTTTGGCCGTCTTATTTCTTGGGCCAAAGAGGAGGGGTGGAGTAAATTGCGGAAAGAAGCAATAAGGGCGTAGGGGGGTATTCGTATAATTTTGTCGTTTGCAAGAAATCTCGCAATTACACGAGAAACTTCTGCGTGTATTTGTGATGGCGCGTGTGTGAGTTTGTTTGTGTGTTTGCACTTTAGCGAAGAATAATCCGGCTTGCCTGCGTGTGTTTGTGTCATAAATTCCCCCGATCATAATATCTTCTTCTTTCAAACGCATCATTTTATTTGTGGTTTGTCAAGATGCCTATGCGTCTATGGTAAAAGATCCTGCTTACAAAGTGGCCTCATTGCACCGCACGTCGTCCTTTGAGCGGCACGGAGGGGGGCGAATAAACAAACGACGCCATAATTTAAGCGCGGCGTTGCGGAAGTAAAAAAAAAAAAAAAAAACCATACTTTTCTCAGGACGATGCCAAAAGGGAAAAGGAAAAAAAAAAAAAAAGAAGGAAAAGATGCGTCGCCCATGGAGGTAATCTCATTCCGAGATTGCCCATTATGCGCATGTCAACAAATGACACCTACCGCGCCACCAATTCATATACAACAAAGCCATCAGTTGGGGCGTTTCCCCAGAAAGACGAGACCACCGACCGCAATTTCGAAGGGCCAGAGCGCCCCAAACACGCACATACACACAAAAAAAAACACACACACTCACATGGATGCATGCATACCCTGCATCCACACACTCAGAAGGGTAGAAACAGGAAATTAAGGTAAGGTAACACCGTTGAGTAGCGCAACTTCGGATCCAGCCATCCTACCGTTCACATTCCTTCCCATAAGCCCTTTGACAAAAAAAAAAAAAAATCGTCGCGGTGAAAGCGAACAACGCCCAATTAAAAGAAGTTCCACACTAATCCGTCTCGTTTCCAAAAAGTGTTTTTTTTTTCTTTTTCTTTCCTAATCCACTTCAAAGAATTTATTTTTCTCCTGTCGTTGGTGGCATGCCCACATCACCACCACCGTCAGTAAGAGGGGAGTGAAAAGACACAATACAGGCAGAGTCTTCATCCCGACCCGTTCACTCTACACATAAAACTCGGCGTTTTCCGCCGTAACACGACTTGTGCCGAGCGGGCCAAAATAGCGGCTAAAAAAATTGCGCCAATACCCCCGGTGATAATCTTGATTTGGCTCACAAAATCCAAGCGAGAGTTGAGCAGATTCCTTCTGTGTATAATTCATGCAGGCGAGGTAAACATAATAGAAGGCCAATGGTAGCACAATACAGCCCGCTAACCCTGACGCGACGAGAGATATGATGGCAGCAGCCATCTCCCAGCGCCCCTGTCCAGTGTTCAACTGAGGATCAGGTTTTGCAAGCGTAACCAGCGAACGGATGCCAATAAAAAGAATGAGTAAGGCTGTGAATACAAAAAATCCCCCAAAGAAACGAAATGTTCGCTTGGCGACGCAACTCCCCAGCACCCCACAATGATGGTCAAATTCCTCCACACAGTAGTCGCAAAAACGGCAGTGGGAGCTTCGTGGAGGACGCACAATATGACAACTTGGGCAGACCTTGCGAAGAACCTCCTTCCCATTTACTAAGACCGTCTCCGGTTGCCGAGTTGGGTCCGGAGGAAGGGGCAGCAAGATGCCAGGATCCACCGTCACAGACATCACCAAACAAATAAGAGCAGCAGTGGCGAGAAGTGAAACGACTACGTACGAGTAAATTTCCCCACGCGGCAGCACACCTAACATAAAAACAAGGACAACCAAGAGCAATATCGCAACGATACAAATACTATTCGCTCCATCCCGAGTAATGACGCAACAGCTCAACAAATGCGAGCGACCCAAGACGCGCTTTGCACCGGCTGGACGAAGGGAATAGAAATTTTGTCGCTGTTGCTCCGGGAAGTTTTGCGGGCCTCCCGTCATCGGGGAAAAAAATCCTTCTCCCGAGGCCTTCCGTGGGCCATTCTCCTGGACAGCAGGCTCCTGATGAAAGTAGGCGCCGGGTTTTGTCGGAATCCCGCCGTCTCTATTCATCGGACTGGATGAAGTGGGCACATTCATTTTTTTCTTCCCCACGCTATGTGCATAAAACAAAGGGCTCACCAGACAAACAACGACCTATTAAAAAAAAAAAGAAAAAAAACAGCAACAAGAAGGAAAGGGAGAGGAGACGGTTATTGCAGTTGTTTTCCCTTTGAGGAGGAGACCGGATTTTGATGGCAAAGAGGAGAGGGCTAGAAGACTCGTCACTCCCACTTTTGTGTTTTTGGGCTCATTCTCACCGCGTCGCACCAACTGCGTGAAGAATCACCTTGCTTTTACTGTCCTGCGCTCCGCCTCCAACTCCTCCTCAAGAGTGTCTACATCAAACCCTAGTCCCCGCATCTCCTCAAGATACCGCGCCGTCGGATCATCTTCAAGTCGTTCCCGTTCCCGCAGCCCCTCTTGTTGAAGCTGCTGTTGCCGCCGCCGCCGCATCGCGTATCCAAAGGCAGCCATGCCAACGCCACAGACGATGAAGGCACGTGCCCCACGCCATGCCATGCGCCGTAAAATGGCTGTGTTCTCTTCAAACGTTTCCGCACCAATCTTCTTTGCAATTCGCATATTCTGCAGAGTGCGTTCATCTAATGTGGGCGGTGGCTCCTTGCCGTTGCAATCAGTCATCCTTTCCTCCTTCCTTCCCTTCTTTCAGGCTAACACATTTAAGAAATAAAAAATAACGGGAGAGGTGTATCCATCCACCAATCAATCATATGCATACATGTATGTGTTTAGTATCTGCAAAACATTTCCACTCGGACACAATCTTCTCCATACGTGTACATCATTGCAGTTATAATAAATCATTGCAACATTGATGAATGGGAATACAGAACGCCTATCCGTAACAAAATATACTGGCGGCGACTCGTGTGGTGGTGGAAAGGGAAAAAGATATCGCAACTAAACAAAACACCACAGGATTTCATAAATATGCCCCAACTGGTGATGTCCCCCTTCCCAATGGATTGAAAAGAATAACTCTAATCGGCAATCCCCTTGCCGTATTTCACATTCTATAAATTTTTCTTTTTTTTTTTTTTTTGTTGTTGTTGTTGCTGTTTTTTTCACTTTTCATTGCATCAGCGGGAGCGTTATTCTTCTTCATCGTCCTCTAATCTACAGGCAAAAATAATAGGAGGATCTCCCAAAATAAATAAACGCCACAGAACCGCAAAAGACCATTTAAATGAATAAATAATAAATAAATGCACCGAAACTTCTTCCGTCCTATTCTTTTGGTCCCGTCTAACTCTTATCACTCGGGTGTAAATCAACAACAACAACAAGAAAAACGCCAGCAGATACAATTTACCCATCAGCACCTACAAAACCACCAGGAGAATTGGCCACCGCGCCCTCCCATTCATTCATTCGGCCTCCATCTATCATCCTCAGTGGACTTCAGTTTTTAAAGACGCGTGCCACCGACTCTACGGGGATGGTGGTCGGGTGCGCCTTCATTCCCGAGTTTCGGCCGCCGACCGTTGGAGATGCGCGCCGGACTGTTCTGACAGCTTCCCAGGCTGCTGAGGCTTGGCGCATGGAAGGTCGAGACGGGCGCCCCGGATGCGGGAGCAGAAAAATTGTTGTTACGTCGGAATGGAGACGACTGACGCGTGGACGAACTAGAAATGCGAGCGGGCAATCCCTGCTGCCCAGACACGGCGGAGCTGGACGCTGGCCGGGCCGGGGAAGAGCGGCGATGCGGCGTTGCCATGTGCCTGTCCATCAGATTCTCCACTTTTTTCCCTAAAATCGTCACAACGGCCTGAAGATTGCGACAGTCGGCCTCCCTATCGGCCAACTCCTGCGACAACCGCGACAGCCGCTCCTCAAATGTTTCGCGCTGTCGGCGAAGTTCCGCCTCAAAAATAATTTTCTGTCGAAGAAGCTCGGCACGAAAGGCATCAATATCATCCAGACTCATGGCCACTTCAAAGCGCCTACACCTCTTCCGGGTCCCTGCTTCCTTTCTTTCACCTACTCGGCCCGGACGTTACAAATGAAAAAAAGAGAACAACTTAAGGAAGCAAAATGAGGAGATACCCCGGGAGCGAAAAAAAACAGAGGCATAAAAAAACGTACACCCTCTATCTCTTAACAACAAGTCTTGCTACAAAACAACATCTGAGTGCCAAAGAGGTGGTACAGCAGCGGCGTAAAGGAAAGAGCCAGCCTCAGACACACCGTAATTATTGTCTATGGCTGCAATTTAAAAACAATTGCAGCGTTGTCCCAAAGTACTCGTCAGAGTTGTTTCCTCACCAATGGGCTTCCAAAAGCAACGCATGCTGTGCGGCGTTCCGCAAATTCATTTCTTTCCCATCGCTCGTCTAAATGACGGATCGTAACACAGTGTCCTTCCACAAATCGTCAACACAGTCGCGTGCCGTTGGATTCATCCGCCGTCGGATCCACTTCAGGGTGTAAAAGTGCACAGGTCCACTCGTCGCCGGGGCAAACAATCCTCCTTCTCCTCCCGCAACGCAACCCGACGGCTATGGGTGCGCCAAACGATGCTGTGGCCCTCAGGAAAGATGGTCGTGTGCCGTCCTTCCCCGGCGACAATTGTGCCCACAGCACCGTCGCCCGGTGCGCCAACTCGTTTCCACCAAAGGTGTCAACCGCACGACGTCTTGGGGAGGTGGCCCACGGCATCACCACGAGCGCGGCGTTGAGAGGAACCCATGCCGCCCTGTCACACCCGGAAATTGATGGTGATGCCCCGCCTGTGCGCGCCCAGAAGGCATTGCTTCCGGAGGCAAAATTCCCTCTTTGTGTGCTTAAAGGCCTCCTTGCGCAGCTTCACTCGGCACGTCGTGTTGCATTGTCCAACCCAACCACGTTCGCAGCATCGTGCTTCATTGGGCGGGGGCGCGGCATGCTATTTCTTTTCTCTCTGAAATACCTGGGGAAATGGGCGGTCCCATTTCTGGGCACCTCGATAGCACCCTGAATGCACTGCATTCGCACTCCAGCATCGTTATTCACTGTCCCGAGGATCCATATGACCGAGTGTACGCAGTCGCCCTAACAACTGGCAAGATTCCATGAGCATCTCTTCTCCGCGAATGGTGCACACCCAGGACACACCGTTCTCCTCACGGCTGTCTGCATGCCGGGACCTGGCGCAGCCGGCGTCGCAAAGGTGACCCAAGACGCATCCAGGAGCTGTGGCCAGGCATTGCATCCATCATGCATTTCAATACGCCGTCAAATGGTGCGACTGCAATCCTCCGTACAAATCCCCGCCTCTCACGGATTCCCCACTTGGTCCCCCGTGTGCCCCGTGGGCCGAGTAACAGCTCTAATCCCTCTGGCACGTCATGAATCTGCATGATCTTCCGATTGCCTCTGCCGTATCGGAAGCATTCCAACTTCCCGTGGCAGGAGTGGTGGAGACTTGTGACGGGCCTGACTGAGTGCTGATGGTCGCCAAGTTGTCGTCCCATTGATGGCTATGAGCAACCCTTGCAAAGGCGCCAATCGAATGCGCACCGCACGGAACTGCACGTGGGCGTTTGAGCTGCACGCCAATATTTTTTAGCCTTCAACTGAGCCCAAGCGCACTCATATGGGCGCTGAAGCGCCAACTGCCTTCCTTCAAGTGTCGCCCACTTGCTCCAAACAGTGGTGTGCTTCTTCCTCTTCAGAGAGGCTCGAATGGACTCAGGGTTCCTCGGCGCGGTGATGGCAGCCACAGAGTGTCGCAACGAGGTGCAATTCATTCCTTTGTCCTGGAACCGCCTTGCAACGAATTCGCCGCCCGCTAATGGCGAGAACGCCGCCCACGTGGTGGCTCAATGGCGGGCTAGTCGCTGGGCAAAGACGAAGTGAGGAAAGTGCCGTTGGACCACTCAGTGGCACGACAGCCTGAAACGCCCAGTTGCGCCGGTGGCCGCCCCACCGCAGAGCGTGGGCGCGGGGCGTGTCTCGTGGACACCGCCCAATCCATGAATCCACCCATAAATCTCTCCCTCAATAAATATTCTTTGCGCTAGGCTTCACAAGAATAGATAGGAGAGAATAATCGCCTGGGCCGCTGCACGAATCCTAAAATTATCTAAAGAAATCAAGCAAGACGGGGAAAAGGGGTAAATGGAGAGACAGTGGCTTCGCCACATCCTCAATGCTTGCTCCAAGTAAATACATGTATATTCGGGAAGCCACTCTCGTGACACGGCGCAGTCTATTCAGATGGATGTTGTTTATTCATTGCGAAGTGAAAAAATTTTGGGCTCTTCCAACCACAAGACCCCGCCACAAGGTGGAAATCAAAAAAGGATGAGTGAGATGACAAAACAAAAAAGGCATTCGTCTTGCCGTTATCGGTTCCTCGACTCCTTCCATCGCGGTGTTTTATAGCATTCATAACATGGGCAAGCATCGTAAATAAATATATTCGTTTTATCAAGAGAATATATTAATCCAGACAACCAACCTCCCTCGCGATCATTCTCTCTACAAACTCCTAGCAGAAGACATTATTATTTGGTGTTCCTCTAGACACCTTCGTCTACACCATTCCTCTCACAAGCCTTCAAACACACAAAACAAAACGAGAAACCGACAACCAAATACAAGCGAATAGAAAGGGAAAGCCAAGCCTCAAAAATACAAATGACTTCTTTTCTATAAATGCTGCTCCACACACACACTGCTTCTTTTGCGTTCTTTCGCGTTCTTGACGCACGAACCGATTCAATTTGAAAAAATATTAATTTAACCTAAAATAAATAGCAGAGAAAAAATAGATGCCGCTCTGGGCCGCACACACATGTATATATATTACTATCAAAGCATCCATTTTCAATTGGAGTCGTGTGCAGCAAGAAGGGGTTTAAAAGGATCAAAAAAAAAAAAAAAAAACTATTGGCCAAAACCTGGCACATTTCCAATTTGACGGTTACAAAACGCGTTTTTTTACGAAATCGTTAACAAATTGACATAAAAATGAGGACCAATAAAACCAATGGGATTGATGGAAAAGCTGACAGCAAAGTGCTCACGTCACCTCCTCCCCTGCGTGCATCGATGAAAGTGCATACATCGTCGTACTTTGGACACAAAATCCTCCCTTGCATGAACAGCCCAGTTGGTGTAATACTGCCGCCCTCCGGGCATTTGTGCCACGCATCGTCTCCAAGGTAGCGCACGCTCACCTCGCCCTTTTCACACGACACCTCAGCGCACACGTCACCAATAAAACCCACGAAATCGGCGAGTCCATCCCCTTTCAAGCACTTGGACGTCGGACCAACGCGGCTCCCACGCATAACGGTCGCGTCCCCATTACTGCAACTAGTGTTGGCATACGTTTCAATGTAAGGGCAGAAGTCCATTAAAAGGTCGGGCGCACCGCCAAGTTTGGGATTCAAAAAGTACTGAAATTGTGGAGGAAGGGGAGCGTCGTGGAGTTCTATTGTACAGTACCCCAGCGCCAGACGATCCGATGTGCATAAAAGAAGGCTGCTTTCAGCGGTGCAAAACATCTCTGGATACTTGGTGACGCCATTTATCACGCATTTCTCCGTCAGCAGCGCGCAGCCGGAGTTGTTGCCCCATGACATCGGTTCCTCCATTCCCCAATTGGCCTTGTAAAAACCGGTGTCCTCCAAAGC